GGAAGAAGCATGGTCCTCACTCACATCCACCCGAGGCGCAGCTTGTCAGTCAACACCATTTGCCCTTGCACAAAACTGAGTTAGCCTTCTGTCCAGGGAGAAACTACTGGGGAATCAGTTCTATACAACAGTACCTGAAACCCAGGCCAGCTGTCAATTTCAGTCAGTCTAGCTTTTAGTTCACAAATACACCCAAGGTCACCGAAACTGAGAAAACCCAACAGCAGGGGGGAGAAAAGACAATCCCAAGAAAATTCACGAAACAAAGGAGAACTTTTAAAAAACTTTCAACTGATATCCTCACTAAGACCAATAGGCAAAGTGCATCCATCAATCCATTATGCAACAACAGGCTTTTTTTAATTAAATAAAGGGGGGGGGGCAAACACAAAGAAGGATTCCTACAAACTATGAGAGCCAAAAGAGAGATACAGCAGATCAAATGAATATTAAACTGGATAAAGCTCAAGCTGGCGATCCAGAAAGATCAAGATGGGAGAGAACAGGGAAGTTAGTATCAGAGAAAAGCTGACATAAAGGAAAGACCCAGAATACCTCAAAAAAGAGGTCTAGAAGCAGAAACAAAGGCAAGAACAAAGGTTCGGGATAATTTTCCCTGAACCAAAGAAAAACACTAGTTTCCAGACTGAAAGGGCTGACCAAATGTCCAGGAGTGAGAATGAGAAAAGACCCAAAGTGAAATAGTGGTTCAACTTCAGAAGTCCAGGGGTGCCTGGCTAGCTCAGCTGGAGAAGCATGTGCCTCTTGGTCTTGGGGGTCATGAGTTTGAGCCCCACGCTGGGTATAGAGATTACTTCAATAAATAAAACTTAAAAAAATTTTTTTTCAGAATTCCAAAGCTGTGAGGTTACTATTGAGTTTAAATTTTTTATTCAACTTATAAAGGAGAGAAATGGAATCAGTTATTGAAGACAGTACAATTTTATAAACTTTTAAAATACAAAAATAATAAAAAGTAATCAAACTTAGACCTGAAAGGTGGAAGGGAGGGCAGGAGGTGATGTGAATTCAATACACATCAAACTGGGACTTTGTAAAGTCAAGAAAAGAAACATAAATCAACTGTATTAGGTTACAAACCACTGTTAAAAGTCTAGGAAGTAAGACTGGGGTTGAGATTTTATTTTATTTACTCTGTATATGTGTTCAACTTACAAACCACTTCTAATGAGGATTTTGTAAAGAATCAAGATACTGATAACTTCTGAAAAAAATAAGGGGATGAGGAGGAGGGAGGAGGGGGAAGGAGGAGGAGGGAGGGAGATGCAGAAACAGCATCAAGGATGCCATACCAAACAGGTTAATTTCCTTAATGATCTCGAGGGCAGGAGATCAACCACAATTCTGCTGACGATAGAAACTAAATGTATATGCTACCAATTAATGCTTAACACTGAAGAATTAATCTGACAATATGCCAGAAGTAGAAAAGGAACCTCTTTTCTGCTGACACCAAAGGATGCTCTTCCCTAACATTTGATCGAGTGACTTTTTAGCCACAGAGGAACTGCCGGCATAGGAAGAGGTTACTGCCAGAGTAAGATGAATAGTAGCCAACTCATATCCACCCTCAACTCACATGTCTGAATGCAGATTTCAGAAGGGAACACCTATTCTTAACGGGGAAAAAAAAAAAAATCATATTAGTAGCTAGGACAAAGGGTGAAACAGGGAAGAACCAATTAGAAGACAGGGTGAGGGGGTGCCTGGCTGGCTCAGTCGGTGGAGCATGTGACTGACTCCTGATCTTGGGATCGTGAGTTCAAGCCCCACGTTGGGTGTAAAGCTTACTTAAAAAAAAAAAAAAAAAGAGGAAGAAGAAGAGAGGGTGCCACCTGCTGCATACTTACATTGTTGATCAGGTAGACGCCCCGCCCCCTGGAAGAGGCCACTGGTTTTACTATCCAAGGTCCCCGGTCCTTTGAATATGAATCTGCTCAAAATATTGGGAGATTAAAAGGGGGACAGAGAGAAACAAAGAGAAAGAAGGGACAAGAGTTTATCATCTTAAATTTCAACAGTGGTTATCCACTCAGACACCCAAAGCATTTTCCACATTTCTTAAGTGGACGGCAGCACGGCTAACGTACCTGTATTTTTGAACTGGCTTCAAAAATGAACACAAAAACAGAGAGGGGCAAGGAAAGGAAGAAGGAGGAGACAGCAAAATCACACATTTCTTCCACCATTTCCCCTCTCTCTTGAATGAGAGGATGAAAACAAAATAAGGCAACTCTCTGATGTTAGTCTAGGACTATCACAAACGGCCTTCAGGAATCTTTTGAGATTCTCGCCTCCGTCAACCAAAGGCCCTCCAGAGGCTCACGCTGCAGGCAGTGCCAATGGGAGCCAAACACTAGATCACCTGAAATGATAATGTTCCTTAAGCGATTTCTCTTAGCTTGTAAGAAAAAATCGCCTTGCGTCAAACCATGTGCAAGTGGCACAAGATGACAGTAATTTCCAAGGGATTAAAAGGTGCCCTTTACTTCTTTTTTTTGTACAATATGGTGACTCAACATTTATATACGTTATGAAATAGCACAATGAGCGAGTTACCATCTGTCACCACACGGAGTTATTACAATATTGACTGCATTCCCTACGCTGTAGTTTTCATCTCTGTGACTTATTTATTTTATAACCGGAAGCCGGCACCTCTTACTGCCCTTCACCTATTTCACCCTCCCCCCACAGCCGCCTCCCCTCTGACAGCCAGCAGCGTGTTCTCCGTATTGAGGAGTCTTTTCATTTTTGCTTATCTATTTGTCTTGTCTTTTAAGATTCCACATGTAAGTGAAATCATATGATATTTGTCTTTCTCTAACTTATTTCACTTAGTACAATATCCTCTAGGTCCATCCATGTTGTCATAAATGGCAAGATTTCATTCTTTTTACGGCGGAGTCATATTCCATTGTGACTATATACCACATCTTTATCCATCATCCATTGATGGACACTTAGGTTGCTTCCAGAATTCGGCTACTGTAAATAATGCAGCAATAAGCACAGGACTGCAAATATCTTTTTCAATTAGTGTTTTCATTTTCTTCCAGTAAATACCGAGAAGTGGAATTGCTGGGTCATATGGTATTTCTATTTTAATTTTTTCAGGAACCCCTACACTGTTTTCCATAGTGGCTGCACCAATTTACTCTCCCACCAACAGCACATAAGGGCTCCCTTTCCTCCACATCCTCACCAATACTTGCCATTTCCTGTCTTTTTGATACTAGACATTCTGCCAGGTGTGAGGTGACATCTCATTGTAGTTTTGATTTGCATTTCCCTGATGATAAGTGATGTTGAGCATCTTTCCACATGTCTGTTCTTCATTTAACCCTCTCCTGTCTCCTCTGGGAGCCGTTCCCCTGTTCGTATCTTCAAGCTCACGCTCCTCTCTGGGGTGCTTCTTCTCTTTTTCTCTCCTTATGATCCACATCTTCCTCTAAACCGGCAACTTCCAGAATCTACTACCTTTGGTCAGAATTCAACTCTACCTTTACAGCTGCCTGCAAATCACCACATGGAAGCCTCAAATCCATACCCGGTCCCAAATTTCACACTCCTCATCCCTTTCAATAGCTCTTCCTTTACGGTCCTGGTTATACTCTCTGGTTAAAGACGCGCTGATTCCCCTAGCTCCTCAGATTCACACCTGTGGAGCCATCTTTGACCCCTGCCTCACTACTCACAGCCAGTTGGTACACTTTATTCTACCACTCTTTCCACTCCCTCTCTTCTATTCCAGCTACCTAGTTCAGTCCAACTACACTTCTCATCTAGATTACCGTAATAACCGTCCAAGTGATCACTGTATTCTTCCCCTTGCTCCCTCCAATTCATTTCACACAGTTATTTTTCTAAAGTCTAACCTGTTTGTGTCCCTTTCTTTCTCAGAAGTCTCCTATTGCCCACACTCAAGTGAGCCAAGGAGGGACAGGAACGCAAGAGTCATGGAGAAAATGGAATTTCTGGGTTATAATGTGCTAGGTGGACACCAAAGGAAGAGAACTTAAAACAAACTTTATGAAGAGGAGGAATGTCTCTTTGAAAAAGGAAGTGGTACAAATAGATGGGTTTCTCCCCTAATGTGTAACCTTAGCAATGCAACTAACCTAACAATGTTGGATCTCCCCCAGATGAATTTTAGCTTAGAGGTCATGGACTCTGGACAACTGGCGAAGGATGACTGGCATCCTGGCAAGACCGAAACCAAGAGACTCCTTTTTACTATCACATCTTCCCTGTCCCCCCTTTTCCACAAACACGGTAAGTCCCTGCTGTGGTCTTTGGTGATGACATCAGTAAGTGATTTGTTTGGGGGGCTGAGGAACACTATTTGCCTCTAGTAACTGCCCTGGGGCTAAACGTGGTGGCTTTGAGTTATGGCTGTATTAATTCCGTGTGTTCTGTTGACCTTTTGAATTCATTTTTGAATTCATTGAATTCATTTTTGTTAAAAAGTAGAACACATACACGTTTGAATAATACACTAAAGAAGCAATCCTACTGAAAGGCAGGTCATGTTTGAACTGATGGAGGAACCCTAACTCTATCCAATCATCTGAAGGAGCATCCCCACCTCCCAGCCTGCCTCCAAAGGGAGAACAGGAGAATAAGAAATAGCAGAGAGAGGACAAAGGGAATTTTCATCTCAGATTCCTGTAGACTTCAACAGGGAATTAATGTACAATTTAACAGGAGGAGTTCATATCTGCGACATGCTGCTAACACGTTAGCTGAAGTATTTTTATGCTATCATGTTGGCTTATTGCATAATTTTTTACTTTTATTACATAACAATACATCTCAACATAACTCGAAATAAGGAGTTTATACTGAACATTTATTAAACACCTATCAGGGTACCATTCCAAGTGCTTTCCGTGTATTAACCTATTTAAACATCCCAACAGCACTATAAGGTCAGTACAAGTAATAATCCCATTTTACAGAGGAGGAGGCTAAGGCACAGAGTGGTTTAAGTAATTTGGCTAAAGTCACATAACAAAAATTTGTAACTAAGTTTTCAGCTTTGAGTGCACTGTAGCTTTGAACTTAATTCATTTAATTAATAGTCTCTTCTGACCCATTTCAGAGCCTTCTGTGGGCAAACACTGAACTGTCAATGGTCCCAGCTGGAACAATGAGTGCTATCGGAGAAATGGCCTCACCAAGGTGAAGCAGGAGATCCTGATGACGGAAATCCCAGAGGATGAACACCCCAATGGGCAACCAGACCAGACTGTTAAGTCTAACAGGTTAAGAAAACCACAAGTCAGGAAGTCTAGAGAGAACTTTCTCTTCCTCTCTCCATGCTTCCTAAAACAGGAAGTCTCTCTCTTGGACTTACTGAGAAGATAGATATCTATGTGTCTGTCCTCCCAGACCCTCCTCCTCAGAGAAGAGTCCTCTCTCACTGGTGATACTGGGAAATAGACACTATGCACGCACGGCTCTGGGTCTTGAAGCAGTAAGGCCCAGTGGTGAAGAGCATGGCCTCTGAAGCCAAACTGCAGAGTCTGAACCACCATTTGCAAGCTACATAACTTACAGAAAGCTCCTGACCTCTCAGTACCTCTTCATCTGTAAAACTGGGAATAACAACGGTACCTACCTCAGAGTAGAAATGCCACTTAGAAGAGGGCCTAACAGAAAGGAAATGTTCGTTCCATGTTAGCTTTTATTGTTATTATTTTTCAGACTCTCACAAAAGACCTGCCTCCCACCTTCTTTGTACTCACACCTCTTCTGTGCACCTCGCCTACTGACTCAGGCTCTGCCCCCAGGGAGGAAAGTCTGAAATAGTCCATTTCGTCTACTTGGACCTGGGGAAGATAGTTGACTTCAAGGCAAAAGAAATAAGAAGCTTCCATTGAGACTGGGAAGCAAGCCACATGTTCCTACCTAGCTTTACCAGCAAGATAGCTGACATTTAGATCCCTATTTGGCTAATAACACCTGTACTCTTCAATTAGTCTGAACTCCCAGTGAGAGTGTGACTAACTGGTACCTCTAAACCCTCACACTAAAAACGTGTGATACTTGTGCTTTGTAAGTCACATAAGTCGAGAAATTGAGGTGACAGGAATATTCCTTAAACGGCTAGCAAAAAACAGACGCCAGAAAGGAAGCACATAGAGTTCAAGGGCAGGAGTATATACATCCTTACATAGGCACTAAGTCTTGCCAGTGAAGAAACTTCCTGTACCAGACAGGGGCACAGGTGTATGACATGAATGTATCCTTCTAGAAACGAGAGCAACAAGCTTACTAAAAATAAACCTACAGGGACACAATCAGAATAAAAACAGGTTTAAAGTTATCCCTCCAGGGGTGCCTGGGTGGCTCAGTCAGTTAAGCGGCTGCCTTCGGCTCAGGTCATGATCCTGGAGTCCCGGGATCAAGCCCCACATCTGGCTCCCCGCTCAGTGAGGAGTCTGCTTCTCCCTCTGACCCTCCCCCTCTTGTGCTCTCTCCCACTCTCTCTCTCTAATAAATGAATAAAATCTTTAAAAAATAAAAATAAATAAAAAAAATAAAGTTATCCCTCCAGCCGTTTTACTAAAGAAACAGTTTTAAGGATTTGAAAAGCTCTAATTAGTTACTGACTCAAGCTAGTCCTTGGGGTAAGTCTGCCCTGAACCCAGTTGCAGAGGGTTGGGGCGTTTGCAGCCAAGCACTTACTACAGAATTCCGCATACTCGGCTGGCAGAAGGAAGGTCTGAGGGAGGATGTGAAAAGCCTTGAACCCGTGTGTATGCTGCATTCGAATGATGTTTTTGTATAGTCGGTCTTTCCGGGTTAGTTCATAGGACCTAAAAATCATAAAAGTTTTCTATTTCAGTAAAGTCTGACTCCAAGGTTTTCCTGTGTTATCACATACTACAGAGCTCATAGTTCGGAGCTAGAACATGTACCGAGGACTGGATTACATTAGATCGACCATTTTGTCAACTCCAGAGTTTAGTAATCATTTTCATAAAATGGATTTCTCTGGGCAGATTTATTCACCGAGGTATAATTGACATACTTTTTAGTGTATAATTCTATGAGTTTGAACAAACATATGCAATTATATAACCACCACCATGAACAGTACCAGCATCCCAAAAAGTTACCTCCAGTCCCTTTGAAGTCAACCCTTCCAATCACCTCCAGGCCCTGGCAAGCATTCATCTGTTTCCTGTCCCTCTAATTTTGCCTTTTCCAGAAAGTCAAGTTCATGGAATCATATATACGTGTCCTTTTGAGACTGGCTCCTTTTCCCGAGACCAGCAACAAGTGAGATTCATCCTTGTTGTTGCCTGCATCAGGATTTCACTACTTTTTAGGGCTCAGTAGTAATCCATTGCTCGGATGGGCTGCAGTTTCTTTATCCATTTACCAGTTGATGGACATGTAAGCTTTTTCCAGTTTTTGAAGATTATGAATAAAATCACTAAAAGCATTACATACATTCTTTTGTAAGAACATAAGTTTTTGTGTGGACATAAGTTTCGATCTCTCCAGGAATGAGATTGCCAAGTTCAGTAAGATTGTTTAGTAAGTTCTATTAGTTATCTATTGCTGCATTATAAATTACTGCCAAAACACTACAGCTCAAAACAATGATAAACATTTTCTATCTTATAGTTTCTGTGGGTCAGAAATGTGGGGGTAGCAGGGCTGGGTAGTTTTATCCAGGGGTCTCTCATAAGGTTACAGTCAAGATGCTGACCAGAGCTGTGGTCATCAGGCTCAACTGGGGCTGAAGGACTGACTTGACAAATAGCTCTCTCGCATGGGGCTGGTTGTTGGCAAGAAGCCTCAGTTCCTTCCCATGTGAATTCTTCTGTAAGGCTGACTGAGTGTCTTCGTGACATGACAGCTGGTTTCTCCTAGATCAGGCGATTCAAGAGGGAAAGGGAACAAGGAAGAAGCTGCAATGTCTTTAATGGCATAGTCTCAGAAGTGACACACTGTCGCTTCTGCCACATTCTATTCATTAGAAGTCACAAAGGCTAGCTCACACCCAAGAACAGAGAAATTAAGCTCAACTTTTCAAAGGCAATGTCAAGGAATTTGGACATGTTTTAACACTAACACATGTGTAAGTACATATTTAACTTTATAAGCAACTATGACCCAAAGTGGCTGTACCGTTTTGCATTTCCCACTGGCAAAGTTTCCGTGTTCCATTGCACTGCATCCCGACCAGCACTTGGTGTTGTCTGGTTTTTCTGTCTTGTTTTTAGCCATTCCAACAGGTAGGCAGTAGTACCTCAAGCGTTTTTTTGTATTTTTAAAGGTTTTATTTATTTATTTGACAGAGAGAGAGCAGGAGAGCACAAGCAGTGGGAGCAGCAGAGGGAGAGGGAGAAGCAGGCCCCCTGCCCAGCAGGGAGCCCGATGCGGGGCTTGATCCCAGGACCCTGGGATCATGACCTGAGCCGAAGGCAGTCACTTAACCAACTGAGCCACCCAGGTGCCCCAACCTCAATGGTTTTATTTCTCATTCCACTACTGACTACTGATGTGGAACATCTTTTCATGTCTATCTTCTTCGGTGAAGTATCTGTTCAAATATTTTTAGGCTATTTTGGAAAAAAAAAAAAAGGCTATTTGTTTATTATTGAGTTTTGAGAGTTCACTATACATTCTGGATACAAATTCCTTATGAGATATGTGTTTTGCAAATATCTTCTCCCAGTCTGTGGCTTATCTTTTCATTTTCTTAACAATGTCTTTCAAAGAGCAGACATCTTAAATCTTGAGAAAATCCAATTTATCAACATCTTTCTCCTATGGATTGTGCATTTACTGTTATGTCTAAGAAATCTTTACTAAATCCAAGCACATAAAGATTTCCTCCTATATTTTCTTCTAGAATTTTTACATTTTACACATATTTAAATCTGATTCTTTTTGCCAAATGGGTTTTATGAGTATAAAATCTATTCTAAAACAGACTTCAAATATAAACAAGCAACAAAGACAGTGTTCTAAGTTTGACTTTTGATAAATATATTCAAATTTTCTAGATCCAAAAACCAAATATATCAAATTCTAGCTTCATCAGCAGCCTGTGACTATTCACTACTAAAAATCATTATGAAACATTTTAGGAACACTACATCTTGTATGTTAATTGAATCACAATTCTTTAATAGTACAAAAAAAATCTAGATTACCCAAATAATGAAAAGACACTAGTACCCCAACTAACAAGTTCTAAACCCAAAGCATTCTGGGAATTTTTACACAAAGATAACTAGGGGATATGACCTTCTGAGAAACATGGCCTGAGCAAAGGTTAGCATACTTGAAAATAGTACCATTCAGGAAAATAAAAGATGTGGCTACCTTACTCATATTTAACAGCAATAATTGTCCAACCTCTCATATGACTATACGGAACTCGCATCATCATTAGTAAAACAAGTATAAGGGTCTGATATGTTTCTCCTACATAGCGTCCAAGATAGACCTTAATTTTAGACTACAGTGGGCCTATTGGAGTAAAGTCCCAGGTCACTAGGTTAAGAATCCCACTGACAACTAAATTTACATCATTAGAAGACAGATACGTAAAAGATAAAATTTTAAAGAAAAGCAAGGAAATGATCACCATAAACTTCAGGCAGTAACTGCCACCTATCAGGCAGTATGTTCTGGAGTACTACAAACAGGCACTTCAGTTAGCCTCAACTGGACTCATGAGTTCCACTATTGGTTTCTAGTCATGGTTTGTTCCACTATTTAAAAACCATCTAAGGGGTGCCTGGATGGCTCAGTCGTTAAGTGTCTGCCTTCGGCTCGGGTCATGATCCCAGGGTCCTGGGATCAAGCCTCACATCGGGCTCTCTGCTCAGCAGGAAACCTGCTTCTCCTTCTCCCACTCCCCATTTGTGTTCCCTCTCTCGCTGGGTCTCTCTCTGTCAAATAAATAAAATCTTTAAAAAATAAATAAACAAATAAATAAAAACCATCTAAGAATCTTTGTGGTAACCACTAAAAACTTACTGTGTCTGTACCTCAGTTCTAATTTTTCACTATGATTTCTTAAATTCAAAGGTAGCTTTGACAAGTCTAGGTATCACAAACCCACTGTCCTCTTCATAAATGTAGAGCAGAGGTCCTTAAATTTTAGATAAGAATCATCTAGAAAGTTTCTTCAAAATTATTGTTCCTTGGCCCCATCTCTCAAAATTCTGGAATAGTCCAGGATTCTGCATTTTATACAAGTGTCCCAGGTGATTTTGGTATAGATGGTCTACACTATAATGCTGATTTAGCCTAGAATAGTAATTTCCAAACTTCCCAGATATAAATCACCTTAGTGCTTTTTAAATATATAGCTTTCTAGGTATATACTGACCTAGGAAGATGAAGCACCTAGAAGGTACTTTTTATTTTTTTACTTTTTTAATTATGTTCAGTTAGCCAACATAGAGTACATCATTAGTCTTTGATATAGTATTCAACGATTCATTACTTGTATATAACACCTAGTGCTCATCACAACACGTGCCCTCCTTGATACCCATCACCCAGTAGAACGTACTTTTTAAATATACACCTTTTTAAATATACACCTTGAATCTGCAATGGGATCTGTGATTGTATATTTTTAAAAAGGATCCCCAGAGACGATGGACTCTGAAAAACAAACTGAGGGTTCTAGAGGGGAAGGGGGTGGGGGAATGGGTTAGCCTGGTGATGGGTATTAAAGAGGGCACATTCTGCGTGGAGCACTGGGTGTTATGCACAAACAATGAATCATGGAACACTCCATCAAAAACTAATGATGTAATGTATGGTGGTTAACAGAACAATAAAAAAAAAATTAAAAAAAAAAAAAAAGAATCCCCAGTGATGTTTATCATCAGTTAGAAATAATGATGAGAGGACAAGAAAAAGGATGCATTCTCCTACAGATGCCCAATCCTAGTGGTCTCCAAATCCTTTTGCTTGATGCTCCCTATACAAATTTTGGGAAACTATGTATCTTTTAATTGACATCTAAGATTCTTCATCAAAAACTTAAATTGGGGCATCTGGGTGGCTCAGTCAGTTAAGCATCTGCCTTCATCTCAGGTCATCATCCCAGGGTCCTGGGATTGAGTCCCCACATCGGGCTCCCTGCTCGGTAGGGAGTCTGCTCCTCCCTCTCCCACTCCCCCTGCTTGTGTTCTCTCTTGCTCACTCTCTCTCTCAAATAAAATCTTAAAAAAAAACAAAACTTAAATTGTCCCAAATGAGCCAATGAATGATAAATATTATTTTAAAATAAAACCCTAACACTACCCTTTTAAGTATATTCCGGGGAACCTAAATAACATCAGGATTCAACAGCCAGCACACATTTTAAAAATATTATCAAAGAGAAAGCTCTTTTCTGTCAGTAACGTTTTCACTTTATAAAATATACTTTTTACTGAAGGTAATATATATGCAGAAAAGTATACAAATCACAAATGCAAAGCATGATGAATTTTGGTCACCTGTGTGAGCACCCCAAAAGCCTCCTTCATACTCCCACCCAGGAATTATCTCCCAATCACCCTTGCTTTTACTTTTTTTTTTTTTTTAAGATTTTATTTATTTATTTGAGAGAGAGAGAATGAGAGATAGAGAGCACAAGAGGGAAGAGGGTCAGAGGGAGAAGCAGACTCCCTGCTAAGCAGGGAGCCCGATGTGGGACTCGATCCCGGGACTCCAGGATCATGACCTGAGCTGAAGGCAGTCGCTTAACCAACTGAGCCACCCAGGCGCCCGCTTTTACTTCTTCCATGCCATTTCCCCCAAAGAATGGCTTAGCCTCATAGAACATATTTAATGCTTGCAGGTCTTTTATATCATAGCATACCTTCTCTATAATAAAATATGCATGTCAATTAATATGCATTATTTTTAAATTTCCTGGGATCATTCGGCTATAAACTACTTATACTGGACTATCATTGCAACTATTGTAGTACACAATTCACCAAAACACCATAAATATTATAAATTTTGATTAAAATGTACGTTATACCAATGTTAAAGTCTCCATTTTGATAATTATGCCACGTTTATAACTGACGTTAATGTCAGAAGAACAAGGTAAAGGATACAGAGTAACTATAATATTTTTACAACTTTTCTAGCAGTCTAAAATTACTTAAAATAAAAAGTTAAAAAATCGTATTAAGAAAGAGTTGACAGGGGCGCCTGGATAGCTCAGTTGTTAAGCATCTGCCTTCGGCTCAGGTCATGATCCCAGGGTCCTGGAATCAAGCCCTGCATCAGGCTCCCTGCTCAGCGGGAAGCCTGCTTCTCCCTCCCCCACTCCCCCTGCTTGTGTTCCCTCTCTCACTGTGTCTCTCTCTGTCAAATAAATAAAAAATCTTAAAAAAAAAAATCTTATTAAAAAAAAAGAAAGAGTTGACAATCATATTGGAAACATTTGAAGTACTTGAATTCCTCTTGCACGTGAGTTCAAGTCTTTGGATGCAAACAGGAGAAACACAGCAGAAGCCACGAGACACGGTGCACCTAAATAACGGGTTGTTAATGTGCTCGAACACGCAAGGGTAGTACATTCAAGCAGCACTCAAGAAAAGATAGGATCAAATTTATTAATACTGATGAGTCTAAACTGAGAGAGAATTCCTATACACCTACAGGAGTATTTCAGAAACTATTAAAGAATATACTACCAACATGAATTTGGAATGCAGACTCTAGTGTGGGCTATTTCAAGGACTCTTTAAATGCCTGTTGAAAATAGACGCATCTGATTCACTTCAATCATCCAGTCACACATTTAGAATGCCAAATCCACATCTTCCAGACAATGAGGGAGAAAATAAGGTTTAAATTACTCTCTGCGAATGAAGCTGAGACATCAAACTGGAACTTGTTATGAAGACTCAAAATACACATTTATCCCAAATTATGAAGAAACTATCTGACACAGGCCAGGTACTTACACATGGTGACGAGATATAAGACAACAGAATTGAAAAATCAAGAAAATTCATTAGATAAAAATGAGAAAAGCATATAAGGTAACTGAAAATAAAACCTATTAGCCTAAGTACATAAGAGTGTTATGTAGGACATAAGTCCTGGAAATAAAATAAAACATAACCACTGACCAAATAAAAAAATTTGAATTGGACTTCCTTCTCTTCATTAGACGAGCTGGTTATCTATCTATCTCTCCATGGTTGAGTATGACTGCCAGAATAAGGTAGGGTTTCAGCATCAATTTTATTCCTTTTTTCTTTTTCATGGATGAAAATACTAAGAAACTCTGGTCACAAAAACAGTAGCTAAGACTTCTACAGTGTTTACTATGTGACAGGCACGCACTGTTCTAAACATCTTAGATCCTGATAGATTAAATCCTCACAACAGTCCCATGAAGTCTGTGTCATTAGCAACATCTTTTTACCAACGAGGAAACTGATGCTCAGAAAGGTCATGTTTGGTGGTCACTCAGCAGAGCTGGGATCTGGGCCCAGGTAATTGATTACAGAGCCTATGCTTCTAGCCACTAGGCAGCATTGCCTCTCTAGGCTGCTGTTAACAATGTGATTGGAAGGAATTTTCTATCGCAATGACACCCAAGTCTTTGAACTCCTTCCTAGTTCTGTGTCAGAAAATCACAAGATGATCTACCACTAAAAATTAAAATTAATAGTCTATCAGCTGACAACCTGATTATGTCCTCCTTTAGTTCCATTAAAAGTAAAGAAATGGAAATCACCACTGTGATTGTCCTGTCTGGTAATCTGTCATTACCAGAATTCAATTCAACATCTTTTTTTTTTTTTTTTTTTTGGTACTTTTGTTTAGAACCCTGGAAATGTTTGCACCCAAGGACAATGCACCATATTAAGATTCTAAGTGGGCCACTGTTTTATAAAGGGGAAAATAGTTACTGTGAAAAAAGGAGGTGAGAAGGGAGAACCCATCCATATGAAGGGCTCTCACGCTGCTCAATTTTAAGAAAGAGAACCTACGGTATTTGCAATCCAGAAACAGTCTCCTTTAGGACCATCCATGTCTACATAGTCCTTGGAGAGGCTTCATATAATATATGCTTATGGACATGAACACTTCAGTTTGATTTGCAGACTGCTGCCCTTTATCACAGACTTCTTTTTTTAAGGACATTAATTATCTCTGCTGGCTACATGCCCAATGTCAGGCACTTTTAAATGGAGCAAAGTAGCTACAAGAGCATTACCTGGGAAAGTGATTAACCTTTTGTGCTTCAGAGAGGGTGCGAAGTAAGAAGGGCTTCAGGTGGGATCCTGTCCACATTAGGTTATAGTCAGTGCTGCTTGGGTGAACCTGAGGGCAGATAAAAAGATTAAAAAAACATCAGAGATAGCCCCTCTCCAAAAAGAGAGATGGCAAGAAAGGCCATAGAGATTTTTCACCTACATAGCACAGTGGGTGCCCAGTTAGTATGTAAGCCTAATAAAATAAAAACTGAGTATAAAGAACACGGGGATGATCAAGTTTAAAGAATGGGACAGTTGGGAAAATCCCAGCTGCAAAAAGTAGAATAAATGAATCCTTCTATAGAAGTCTGTGATGTCTCTTAACATTCTTGCATATCAAAGTATGAGAAGAGGACTCAACCCCACAACTCCCTTCTCAGAGTGTCCTTATGTCCCTACAGATGATGGGTATAAAGTCTTGATCAGAACTAAAACTTTGTGGTAGCAAACTAACTTAGAATATCATCCCTCCATTCATTCATTCATTCATTCATTCATTCATTCATTCATAAGAATTCATTTGTCTATTCATTCAACAATTATGTACATGGTGCCTATGATGGGATACATACCATGTTAGGCCCTGGAGATAAAACAGCAAGAAAGGATATAAACTAGTATGAGAACGTCCTCACAATGTCTATTTCAAACCTCAACCTAAGATAAGGGGCTAGCAACCAGACTTTTATTAATTATTTCAAAATATCTATAGGGTAAGTCTGCCCAGCATTTTTGCCTGTCCCTTTGATATCAATATCCCAATTTCCCCAATTTTCTTTGGGAATAACATACTACTTGGTTTTAAAAGACTGCCAGTCAGACTACCCACCCCACCCCTTGCAAGGGGTAGATCCATGACCCAAGCTGGACCAGTCATACTATCTCCAGAATGTGATTCTTCAGTGAAGAAAGGCACAAGGACAGTGAATGGAGCTGAGTCACTTCCATAGCAGTGCCTTGAGGAGACAATCCTGATTCCTGTTCCCAGATCCCCAAGACTGTCCTAGGCTCTCTCCTTCCAAAGGCCTGCCTTTTCAACCCTTCCTCTGATTCTGCTACCTACGCTATGTATAACTTACCCACAAATTCTTTTTGGTTTAAGTAGGCAGAATCTGTTTGTGTTGCTTGCAATCAAAGAATCTTAATTAGGTATCAGACAATTCCTTATGGGCAACTCTGTCTCTACCCCAATCCTAAAATCATAGCAAGAAAAATGTGTGGGGTTTTTTTCGTTTAAAAGAGAGAAAGAGGAGAGAGAGAGAGAGAAATCTTATGAAAATGTTTTCTATGTATTTCAAGGAGAAACTGATAAAGCCACTCAAAAATTCAATGCAAGCTCTGTGTTATCACTAAGCATAGGTCCCATGTACCTTCTAGAGCTGCCCTGTTAACTGGTAGTCATGTGGCTAGGATTTTCAGCTTTAGAGCTTTAGAGCAGTGAGATAGTAAAAATGAGCTTACTTCATGAAATCCATGGGCTGTCAGAATGCTGCGTACGAGGCGACTATCTGTTCGCACAATTTTGTAAGACAAATGATAACGTTCTAAAGAAAAACACAGAATCAAATTCAGTAACCAGAAAGTTAACTGTAGAGACAAAACTAAAGTGTACAATGGTGGCTTGCTTAATTATACTCAAGAACATACACTGCTCCCCTTATGATACTATAAGCAGGCTGCAGATTACTTTGGGCCAAGGGTTCTTAACCTGAGATTCACTGGGGGTTATGACATCCGGATGGGGGACAAAATGACATCTGTTTTCACTTCTAGTTGAAATTTAACATTACCTTCAATTACGAAAGTAGGCACAAAGCAGAGCAGTGCTAGCAATTCCTGTGACCCTGCCACCTGTACATACCAGGTATTTTAATATTATTTTACTGTTGTTACTGTTATCTCAAAATACCACTTCTCACAATATTTAAAAGTTATGGCTAGTGAACACACCTTCCACTAGATCATGTTATTTAATGCACAAATAATGCATGTATGTCACAAATTTAGTTTTTAAGAAATATTTTGATAATTCTATTTCAATACAATTGATTTTGTTTATAATCCTACATATTTCTTTATACACTTAAAACACATTATTTGAAGAACAGACCCACAGGCTTCCCCATACCGCCATTGCACATTTGGTCCACTGCAGAAAAAGGCTAAGAACCCCTGCTCTAGATAGCCCTCTGTGTTCAGTGATGCTGGTTACCAGTGATTCTTAGGCCAGAGGTTATAAACTGATGATTCAATCAGCAGATATAGTTTGTTAATTTCTCATTGTGCTTTAATAATAAAATTGAATTACCAACCTCTTGCAATTGGAGGAATTCGTATAAAAATCTAGATTTCTGGGCCCCTCTTGAAAACCCTGGCAGCCCTGGGGTTGCTCTCTCTGCCAGGGCAAGAGTCAACGGGGATGCACAAGTGCTCCCTTCAGGACAGGCTCCCATGCTCTAGTTCAGCACAGTCGCCACACGGTGCTTCACCCACTCACGTTTCCTGCCAGGCCCTGTAAGCATAGTCACCCCTGCCTAAGACAAAAGTCTGTAATCATGTGAGATTTCTATATATCCCCAAAGACTAACATTTACTCTGGCCCATGAAAGGCAATCTCTTTCTATGCATCCCTACAAACTGTTTGAGGAAATCAGCTAAAAATTCTACAGAACAATTATTTTTAAAGTTTTTTTTAAAGATTTTATTTATTTATTTATTTGAGAGAGAGCGCGTGCCTGCGCCGGAGCATGAGGGTAGGGGGGAAGAGGCAGAGGAAGAGGGAGAAGCAGACTCCCCACTGCACGGAGAACGCAGCGCGCGGCTAGATCCCAAGACCCCAAGACCATGACCTGAGCAGAAGGCAGACACCCAACTGGCTGAGCCACCCAGGCGCCCCTAAATTTTTTTTTAATTAAGTAATCTCTGTGCCCAATGTGGGGCTCAAACTCACGATCCTGAGATCAAGAGTCACATGCTCCACTGACTGAGCCAGCCAGGAGCCTCATCTGCAGAACAATTTTTTTAAAGGACCGCATATTGAATACTTTCTGAATAAGAATAGTACAGAAACTTATGAACACGCCTTAGGACAAAATTCAGCCTCTACAGTCAAAGAGAAGCACACCTTTTTATGAATTTATGTGAAAATATCCATAAATCCCTGCTGCTTCTTGCCCAGTCCTGGCAGGAACACCATGCAAAGCAGACACAGGAAAACTGGAATGAAAAGGCCAGACACTCCATACTTCTCATTCTTGTGGCAAACTTCTAAAGCCCAGTTACAGGGTTTCCCCAATAATTAATCACTAGTATGTTGCCTATGCAATACTGTTGTAAGAAAAAAACAGTTCAGGGTCCTAGGTGTTTGCTTCGGCCCAGAGTAGAATGTAAGAAACAGTGCACTGCTTAAGAGTTGGTGTTCTGACTCCAAGGTGGGGAGGGAAAGCACAAGATAGGCCTGGAATATTTTGTTCTGCCAAAAAAAGAAGAAAATGCTCAAAAATGGATGGGAAACATGTCACAAAGATCTCAGTGGCCAAATTTAAGACAATTTCAACATAAACATGAATATGACCTCACTGATATGAGGAATTCTTAATCTCAGGAAACAAACTGAGGGTTGCTGGAGTGGTGGGGGGTAGGAGGGATGGGGTGGCTTGGTGATAGACATTGGGGAGGGTATGTGCTATGGTGAGCGCTGTGAATTGTACAAGACTGTTGAATCACAGATCTGTACTTCTGAAACAAATAATGCAACTTATGTTAAGAAAAAAAAAAAAGAAGATAGCAAGAGGGGAAGAATGAAGGGGAATAAGTCGGAGGGGGAGACAAACCATGAGAGACGGTAGACTCTGAAAAACAAACTGAGGGTTCTAGAGGGGAGGGTGGTGGGGGGATGGGTTAGCCTGGTGATGGGTATTAAGGAGGGCACATTCTGCGTGGAGCACTGGGTGTTATGCACAAACAATGAATCATGGAACACTACATCAAAAACTAATGATGTAATGTATGGTGATTAACATAACAATAAAAAATGGAAAAAAATAAAATAAAAATACAACATGTCAAAATGCAAAAAAAAAAAAAAAAAATGAATATGACAGAGAGAGACTATAATGCCCTTACTAATGAGTCCACACACTGATAAGAAGGTCAGAAGGTACACTGGTTTTCTAGCGCTGCTAAAATAAACTACCACACACTTAGCGCCTTAACCAACACAAATTCATTGTCTGATTATTTCTGTAGGTCAGGAGTCTGACACAGGTGTCATCTAGGCAAGAGCAGGGCTGCATTCTTTTCTATAGGCTCTTTTCTTTTTTCAGCTTCTAGAGGCTGCCCCCATTCCATGGCTTATTGTCTCCTTCCTCTATTTTCAAAGCCAGCAATAGTGGGTCTACTCCTTCTCACATAGCATCCATCTGACTCCTCTTCTGCCTCCTTCTACTTTATTTTTTTTTTTAAGATTTTATTTATTTATTTGACAGAGAGAGAGAGAGCGTGCACAAGCAGAGGGAGCGGCAGGGAGAGGGAGAAGCAGGCCCCCTGCTGAACAGGGAGCCCGATGGGGGACTTGATCCCAGGACCCTAGGATCATGACCTGAGCAGAAGGCAGACAGACACTTAACCGACTGAGCCACCCAGGTGCCCTGCCTCCTCCTACTTTAAAGGACCCTTGTGATTAAGGTTAGCTGATTAGCAACCTTAATTCCACCTACAACCTCAATTTTCCACTGCCATGTCAGGTAACATTTTCACAGGTTCTGGGGATTAGAAGGTAGACGTCTTGGTGAGGACCATTATTCTGCCTTGCATAGAAGGGAAAGCTCCTCTTTACAGAAAATCCAGCTAATAAATGTAGAAGGAAAGAAAAAGAAAATCAGCATTTTACAAAAACCATAAAAGTTCAGACTAAAGTTCATTTTAGTTCAGACTATAAAGTCAATGGATACCAATGGGTGAGAGACTATTGGGAAACAGAATATTCATGCATCTCCAAACATCATTCCAGAGAATGCTTGTAACAAAGGAGAAAGGCACCCCTCCGATGAAGCAATCTGGTGAACATTATCTCAATGAGAAATCTGCCATCACCAATAATGCAATACAATAATATCCCATCCTTCCTAATGTGATACACTAAGGAGGACACAACTGCACTAAGTGATAGTCTTACAAAATTTTTAAACCTGAATCTAAACACATAGAAACAATCAGACAAGCCCAAACTTAAGGACATCTGCAAAGCAACTAGTCTTGAAATCTCTAAAAATGACAGTGCCATGAAAGACATATACAGACACACACAAAGTCTGGGAAATTAGAAGAGAAATACGAAAACTATATACAATCTTTGATTTAGTCCTAGATTTTAGAAAAATAATAACAGCTATAAAGGTCAAAACTGGAACAACTGGGGAAATGTGCATAAGCACTATATACTAGAGTATTTTACCAATGGCAGACCTTTTAGTGTCATCTCAGTACATCCTCTGTGGTTATACAGAGGATGCCCTTGTGCTTAGGTGACATTGCTGAATAAAGCATTAAGGTACAAAGTATTTGAACTGATTCTCAAATGACAAGAAATATGACAAAACATTAACAGTTGGTGAGCACAGGGAAAGGGTATACATCCATTCAACGAAAGTACTATTCTTAGAGCTTGTCAAAAGGTTTTTAATTTTTTTAGATTGAATGTTTAGAAAGTGAAAGAAAGTCAGGTCTCTTCATTATGATAACTGTGATCACCGACATATCCATTTCTGCACATGTAAAAGCCAAAGCGTCATCCATGCTGGAGACCAGAAGTGTGCCTGATTCCACGCCTGTTCTGCAACGCTCGCCTCGCAGTACCAGGCCATGGGGAAGGGAGTCACTAAGGCGTGCAGAAAAACAGAGAATGATTAGCTGGGGACTAGGGAGGAAGGGGAAATGATAAGTGGAGCTGCCAAGGGCTCAAATCCAGGCTCTACCACTTCCTGCCTGTAATCGTGAGTAAATTATTTCTCTATGGTCAATTTCCTCCCCTTGTCAAATGGTGTTGATAATCAAGGTACTTACCTCATGGGGTAGTTGTTAAGCACTACATCAGTTAATAGCATATAACTTTTAGAACATTTGTTGCTACATAGTAAAAAATTTTTTCTTTTTTTATTTAAATTAGCCAACATATAGTACATCCTTAGTCTTAGGTATAGTGCTCAATGATTCATTAGTTGCATAAAATGCCCAGTGCTCATAGTAAAAATTTTTTAAAAAAATATTAAAAATTGTAAAAAAAAAGTAAATTATGTGGTAAAATAGCTATTAATACATAATATCATACATAAATTATGCATTTTATATAGCAAATTTAAAAACAAAAATGCTATTAATACTTTCTCCTACTTTTCATAACATAGAAGAAAAATGCAATTATCACTGCACTCACTGACACAATCCTCACAGTGTGTAAGTAGTGAGCAGTGACCAACTGCTTCTAATCCATACCAACTAACTATAACCCAACTCTGATATACTGTGCATGTTCCAAAAGGGGGGT